TAAAGGGAGTAAGATCCAAACATTATAAAAAGTTATTTAATGAAAATTCTCCCTCCTACTCCTGACACATTGGCCACCCAGAAGCAACCAAAGGTATCTTGAGTAAAATATAATAAATTTTATATAAATATAAACTACTTTTATATATTTGTAACATGTATACAATCACATATATACATATTTTTATTTCTCTCCTTTTTTAAATTTTTTGCCATAGGGTGAACTTACCAGAAACAGAAAGAGAGGGATAGTGAGAAATCACCCCCCAAGGAGGATGGCCACACTGCATTCCTTCATCACCCCCCAAGGAGGATGGCCACACTGCATACCTTCCTCCTTCCAGGATTTTGGGTATGCATGCACATCCGCTCAGCATGTTTTTCAAACTGCTGGGTCTGGGACTCAAAGCACACAATTGGCCATGAGGGATTCAACCACCTTAAGCTCTACACCACCTGCTGGCCCATCCTTCATCCTTTTATACAGCTGGTGACATAGGGATGAGCAGTTGGCGTAATGGCTATGTTATTTGACTCCCATGTAGTTGACCACAGTTTGAGTCCTGGACCAATGGCTTAAGCTCACACTGGGCGAGTGTGCATGTGTGCCCAAGATCCCGAGAGGAGAATAGAGGAGAAGGGATAGTGGCATGGCCATACCCCTGGGGGGGGGTGATTTCTCATGTTCTGTCTCTTTGTCTCTCTCTGTCTTTACGGTGAGCACACACATCCTATAGCAAAAACTTCTAAAACAAAACAAAAACAAAACCTAGTAGTATGACACACTGTGTTCTACATATCCCTTTTTCCATTTAACAATATATCTTGGCTATTGTCCTACATTAATACATAAAGAGCTTCTTCACTGTTTGTCAAGACTGCATCACATTCTCTCATCAGATGAACAATAATTTAACCAGTTCCCTACAGATGGAAGGGAATTTTCTGTTCCCTTTTGTTTCTTTTTTCTTATTTTGCAATTAGCACTAAAGTAGCAAGTAGCAAGCACTGTAATGAATAGCTTTGGAAAGAATACTTTTTGGAAGTGAACAAATATGGAGAACTAGTACTACTGAGTCAACAGATACGTGTATTTGTAATTTTTATTAAAACTGTCTTCTGTGCATGGTTAGGCAACTGATACTACCACCAGTGATGTGTGGAAGTGTTTTTTAAACCACTCCCTCCCTTATAGTGTGTTATCCATTTTCCTTCTACTTGTTAACTTCTTAGGCAAATAATAATAATAATAACAACCAAAAACCACAGTTTCTTTTGTAGTTTCAACTCATGTTTCTTGCATTTTGAGTAACAAATGTTTGAAGTACCTATTATGTTCAAGACATTGGTTTAGACATGGGGGATATATTGGTGACCAAAGCCCCTGCTATCCTGGAAGGTAGATTTTAGGAGACATCAAATCAGTAAATAAGAATCTATGTGTTGTCCTGTGGTGCTGTGGAGTAAATTAGCAGGGGATAAGGTCTATTCAGTAAGCAGATGAAGCATGAGTAGAAGCATATTTTCATATATTTAAAACAGATACAGAGATCTTTCCTGTACTATAAAATGTCTTTTTCCATATTTTGCTCACTTTTCTTTTGTTGTTATTCATTTTGCTATTGAACTATGGAAACTCTTATTTAAATGTAAAGTATTTGAGAACTTGGATATCTTATCATTCATATCGTTGTCAGTCAACAATCACCCAATTCCTTCTAAGAGTTAAGGGCACATATGTTAAAGTTATTATATTCATTGACAACCAAAAATCATATTGGTGTGGGTTTTTTTAGAATTATTTTATTTCATTTTATTTATTATTATTAGTTTGTTTTTTTTTTATTAATTTGACCAGAGAGAGATAGGGGGAGGGGAGATGAGTGGGAAAGCAAGCTGCCAGGTCTAGGACTCAAATCATGGTCAGTCATGTGGAAGTCCAGCACCTTAACCACCACACCAACTGCCAGCATCCATGTTGGCTTTTAAGATAAAAAACAAAGGATGGATGGTAGTGCAGTGCTAACATGCAACAATCCACAAGGCTGAGCCCCATAGGAAGGACACGTCATGTCAGGAGGTCTCCCTGAGTATGCAGGGCAAGTACATGCCTATGACCTGGAGCTGGCTGAATCTGGGGATGGATCGTGGAGTCAAGACACTGCTAAGGGTTCTTTCTTCTGCTTACTTATAGAGGAAATAAATAAATAAATATAAAAGAAAAAGATGAAGGAACACATAGTATAATGTAACATATTCTTAGTTGGAATTCTCAGTCTAGGAAGCAGGGGGTCAAATCAAAATTACAGATCATTTGTGTACATTTCAGCTACTATAATATGTAATTGGAATCTTAGCCCTTTTTACACAAATAATTATTCATACATTTTATCTACAAAACTTTCCTTTGTTAAGTTTATTATATGTAAGTGTAAGCAAAATGGGCATCCTGGAAAAGTTGGGAGGAGCACTGGGAAATCTAGCCTTGACTAAGGTCAACCACACCTCTGTACAAATGGAAGGCTAGTCAAAGCTAGCTGGTCTAATCTGAATATAGTCATGCACTGCATAACGACATTTAGGTCAATGATGACTGCATATACAATGGTTGTCCCCTAAAGAGCATGGAGACTATAACCTATAGTCTAGCTGTGTAGTAGGTTCTACGATCCAGGCTTGTGTAAGTAGACTTTAGGATGTTTGCAGAAACACAGAATCAACTAATGACGTATTTGTCAGAACCTATCTCCACTCTAAGTAATATGTGACTATATATAGGACTCTATAAACTGTCAAGGTACAACTCTGTTGCAAATTTTGGAAATTTTACCAACTCCTCAAGTCCTCATTATAGAAAATATGCAAAGCGATGAAGTGGATGGACACAAATATAACAATGTTATTTTAAACGATGCAAAAAAAAATCTGATTCTTACCGGATTTCATTTCCAAAAGCGTGTGATTATCAATTTCATGGTTAGCTTTTCCAGGCTGAGGCACACGCAGTGGTATGATCTGAGGGACACACACTGAACCAGCAGTCATTTTTCTCTCCTTACATCAAAAAATAAATAAATAAATAAATAATAAAGGATAAAAATAAATTCCAGCATGCATCTATCTATATTTGAACACAAAAACTAAGGGATATGACCTCATTTAAACAGAGAAAAAAATCATAAATGCTAAAGAGAATACTATTACAATACCACCTACACATATTATTCAAGTTTTAATCGAAATGATTATGTTTTAGCTGTATTTTTGCTTTGAGATCTTGGGTGAGATTTTGATTAACTACTTACCTTACTTCCATGAAAGGAGCTGAATGAATGAGATGGGGGAATGGAATTATTGTAAATGGGCAAATTAAATGAATACAGCAGAATAGAGACCATCACTAACGTTCTGACCTGAATTCCCTCTGGGTCATTATCCCCCTTTCCTACCTCCAGTTAAGTATGCCACCTTTCTTGTCTTCAGGACAAGTCATCACACAAGGGGAAGAGAAATAACTCTCTACATAGCAACAGATGTGGGTTTAGAACCAACTCCTTTGGGAAATCTCCGGGTCTACAGTCCTGCAATTGCCACTGGAGTGGTTCTAATATTTGAAGGCTGCAAAAACAATTTAAAGGGAATGTAGAGTAACACTTTTCAATGCAAAGGAAGTTGGCACAGATGTAAACAGTAACCAACAAATAAAAGGCTCACACTCTCTGCACTGTATTTACATATAATTAACTATCAGTATGAAGGGTCTGTTTGGGGGCAAGGAAGGTGTCCTAATTTTTAATGCATGGAAGTTTTCACAGGGGCAGAGGAGGGACCCTCAGCTTAACCCAGCAATGAGTTACATCTCTGTGTTGACTTTACAAACTTCAGCAATTATGGATACATAGGTTTTACCCAGTTACAATCTACATATAAGTTCCGTTTTTATGAAGTCTATTTCCATGCACTTATATTATCAATTTGTGGTTGGGCATTTAGACCATTTCTAGTTTCCTTTTAGTTTTGTTTGTTGCAATTCTAATAATTCTGCTCAAACCATCTTTGAGATTTGAACTTTTCCCCAGACTATTTCCCAAAAGTGGGATTAACTAAATTTAAGGGGTAAACTTAATGTTTATTTGGATAGTCCCAATCAAGGTGCAAAAAATAGAAATTGTAGATACAACATCAATAGTCCCAATAAAAGAATGGATAGACTTGGGGTGACTTGCCCACACTCACAATTCCATTCAAATGAAAGGGAGCGAAAATAAAAATAGTTGCAACATTTGTGAGAAATAAACATAGTTGAGGGAAGGCATAATTCGTGCGCAACAACTAGTAGCCGCCCTTGGGAGGTTGGGATGGTCAGTAGGCCCCATGCAAAAGGAACAGAAAAAAAGTCCAATCCGCTGGGCCCAAAGAGCTGCTTGTTGAGAACAGCACCCTCTCACCTCCCTCCACCCATCGCCCCCTTGTCGCGCGGATCTGGAACCCGGTCTGGTCCTCGCCCCCGCCCAAGAGGAGTAACCAGGGACGTCTGCCCTCCAGCCGCGGGGACCTGGATCAGGACTCCAGAGGCACCTTCGCCGCCCCCCAACTCGTTCGCCGACTTCTCACCGCCTCTTGCCTGCTCCTTCGCAGCAGCCCGGGTTACCACAGACGCTGTGAGCGGCGCCCCGCCTACTGAGAGCCGGGCAGGAGATTGGTGGAAACTCAGCTTCCTAGCAACCAGCCCCGCCCCTGCTACTCCGGGTAACTGGTACCCGCCGGCGTGCCTTTCCCAGGGTTTCACTATAGGCATCCAAAAATATGCCTTCACAGAGGAAGCACCGAGGAAAACCAGTCCCAACGCAGAATGAGGGAACCAGGCTCTTTTTTCCAACAGGCATTGACATTCTGGAAAAGAAGGACAAGAAGCTGCAGCGATGCCAGCAAGTGCGGCGGAGCAGGCGCGGCGTGGCCGCCTCAAGCCGACAGACAAGGAAGGACCGTCTGCGACACCAGGAAAGAAGGCCCTTTGCTCCCGGCTCGGCGCTGTCTTCCGTTTGCTCTTGGGCTTCCCGAGCTTGCTCTCTCGCGGCTTTGTGCATCTCTTTCTGTAAGATTCGGGACCTGAGCCTTCATGGCTGAGGTGAAAGTGAAGGTGCAGCCGCCCGATGCGGATCCAGTTGAAATAGAAAACAGGTAAACCAGTGAGGCTTGGTTCCCTGCATCCCCGGGAAGTTAGGTGAGCACGGCGGAAGTGATTCGGGGTTCAGGACCACTCCAGCTCTACAGGAGCAGAACTCTCTAAAAACGGGTTCTCCGTTTGCAACTTTGTGTCGCTGACTTTTCCCTGAATCTGTTTAGGAAGTTGTGATGATGCGCTTCCTCTGGAACGCCAAGGCGATCAGTGACCTGCGAGGAGACTGCCTTTTCCCCGTAGTACTTGTTGGATACGTGTTCTAAGCCACGACCGCCCTTTTCATTAAGAAAACTCTCACCAGACGTTTGGGCAGTGTTGGAGTGCAATTTGTGATTACGAAACAACACTAAGCCAAATGGTCTCAGTGCAGAACTGAACTCAAGACTTTTAGAGCAGCTTACACCTCTCCCAACTTTGTGTTCTCTACCAGTGCGCTGCTGTTCTTAAGTTATCAAAGTTCCATAGTTGGATCACATGGTCCTAAGGACACCAACTCTCGAAACTGTTAATATGTAGCACATACATTGGTCCTGTGACAAGCTTAAGATAGGGACCTTTTGATTTTGTTTGGTAGGGATAATTCCAAAAACAGAACCATTGTGGTGAATCAGAACAACAAATGCTGACTTCCCACCGGCAGAGTCCGCATTTGCTCCTGCATGCCAACTTACCACTTTGTAAAAATTATTCCATCTGAGCAAACTGACGTCTCAGTTTTAGTGTTTTGTTGTTGTTGTTGTTAGACTTTTGCTTTAAAGTTCATAATAGCAAAATAAGTACTCACTTAAGTAACAATAACAACTTAAGTGTATATTGGAAAATCATCTTCAGTTTCTAACATGCTTTGATTCGAAGCCATCATAAAAACCCAGATTATCTGCCAAATGTGAAAAAGGTACATTTTGAACTGCTCTGCTTTTATTTTCCTCTCACTGCCTCTTGAAACAGGTAAATGTGAATAATATTAATTCCTTTGTTTACAGGATTATAGAATTATGCCACCAGTTCCCTCATGGAATCACAGACCAAGTGATTCAGAACGAAATGCCTCACATAGAAGCCCAGCAGCGGGCAGTGGCCATCAATAGACTGTTGTCCATGGTAAGGTGAATCTAACTAGTTGATGTAATTACTTGAACTATGCTGTGATTGTCATTGCTTCCTTTTATGTAGTTGTGATGGTTAATTTTATGTCCACTTGACTGGAACGTGAGATTCCCAGACATTTGGTTAGACACTGTTTTGGAGTGGGTTTATTAAAGTATTTCTGGAAGAGATTAGCATTTGATTCCTGAACTGAGTAAGACACGGCCCTGCCCACTGTGGGTGGTCATGCTCCCATCTGTGGAGAGCCTGAGCTAAACACAAAGGCAGAGGAAAGTTGAATGCCCTCTGCCTGACTGCTCGCCCAGGGATATGGATCTTCTCCTGACATCAGCGCTTAGAGTTCTCGAACCTTCAGATCCAGACTGGAATATATATAATTGACTCTCTGGCTCTCAGATCTTTGATCTACACCACCAATTTTCCTGGTCTCTAGCTTGCAGATGGTAGATCACCGGACTTCTCAGCCATGTGAGCAAATACCTGATAGTAAATCTCTTAATAGACAGAGTGATGTGTGTATGTGTATATATATATATATATCCTATTGGCCCTGTTTTTCTGGAGAACCATGACTAATATGGTAGTCATAAAACCAGCAAGTGTTGGGGCTGGCAGGTGGCATGGTAGTTAAGAGTACTGGACTCCCACATGGCCAATCTCAGTTCAAGTCCTGAACCTGGTGGCTTGCTTTCTCACTTTCCCTCTCTCTACCTCTCTCTCTCTGCCCCTTTCTGGTCAAACTAAAATATATAGATACATGAAGTTCAACAAAATAATTCTTTTAAAAAATTAATTAATTAAAAAAGTAAATAAACAAAACCAGCAAGTGTATATATATATATATATATATATTGATTTTATTTATCTATTCATTTATTTTTTAATTTGACCAGAGACAGACACAAAGAAAGAAAGAGGGAAAGTGGGAAAGCAAGCCACCAGGTCTGGGACTCGAACCATGGTCAGCCACGTGGCAGTGTCCAGTGCCTTAACCACCACACCACCTGCTGGTCCCCATAACTGTTTTATATATTAACCTAAGGGTCACTAAGATATACAGGGCACATAGCCATAGTCTGTTCTCACCTTCTGTATTTTTTCCTACTGCTGGCGTTAGGGCCATTCTCTATAAAATATCTCTCCTATGATTTATCTGTGAGTTGTCACAAAACCCATTCATTAGGTTATCATCCTCCACATTTTCACTCTGAGTATTTCTGGAGGCAGGCAGGGAGTCCATTTGTGTGTGTGGTTTTTGTTTTTGTTTTGTTTTTTAGAGAGAGATGAAGTGTGAAGCGTCTTTTTTTTGTTTTTAATTTTTATTTATTCATTAATTTATTTTTAATTTGAGAGAGAGAGAAAAAAAAAAAAAAAGAGGGGAAGTGAGAAAGCAAGCCACCAGGTCTGGGACTTGAACCGTGGTCAGCCATGTGAGAGTGTCCAACATCTTAACCACCATGCCACCTACTGGTCCTGAAGGTTCTGTTTTGAGGGAAGGAGGATATCTTAATTTTTAATGCATAGAAGTTTTTAATTTTTTTTTTGGAGAAGTTTTTGCCATAGGGCGCGTGCGCTCGCCAGACAGACAGAGAGAGACTGAGAGACAGAAAGCGAGAAATCACCCCCCGGGGGGATGGCCACGCCGCAATCCCTTCTCCTCCATTCTCCTCTAGGGTTCTTGGGCACACATGCACACGCGCCCAGTGTGAGTTTAAGCCACCAGGTCTGGGACTCAAACTGTGGTCAACTACGTTGGAGTCCAGCGACATAGCCATTACACCAACTGCTGGTCCCGTTTGTTGCAATTTTAATAATGCTGTTCAGATGAGATTTGAGCTTTTCCCAGACTGTATTTCCAAAAGTGAGATAACTACATTTAAGAGGTGAACTTAATTCTCACTTGGATAGTTCCAGATCTAGGTACAAAAAATAGAAATATCCATCAATAGCCCCAACAGAAGAATAGCTAGGCTTTGGGGGACCTGCCCACCCTCAAATTTTCATTCAAGTGAGAGGCAGTGAAAATAAAATTGGTTGTGACATTAGTGAAAAATGAAAATATATTAGTTGAGGGAAAGCATAATTTGCGTGCAGTAACTATTATAGTAGCTGCCCTTGGGAGATTGGGTTAGCCAGTAGGCCCCAGCAAAGGGAATCGAGAAAAAGGCCAATCCGCTGGGTCCAAATAGCTGCTTGCTGTCAACAGCACCCCCTCACCCACAGGTCCTTCCAGCCTACTGCCCCTTGTTGCCCAGATCCAGAACTCAGTGTGGTCCTTGCCCTTGCTCATGAAGGGTAGCCAGCAACATTTGCATCCTTTTGTTGGAGTATTTCTGGAGGCAGACATGTATCCAATTAAATATCAGCAGGCTGGGTCTTTGGAACTATATCCTCAGCACCCAGTGATTTAACAGTAGGTTTTCCAGCGAAGCCTTTCTTTCTTTCTTTCTTTCTTTCTTTCTTTCTTTCTTTCTTTCTTTCTTTCTTTCTTTCTTTCTTTCTTTTTTAAATAATTATTCTTTTTATTTTATTTTATTTTTTATTTTAACTTCCTATAGCACACATGGGCTCACCAGAGAAAAAGAGAGAGAGAGGAAAAGTGAGAAAGTGAGTTAGCAAGTGCCAGATCTGAGACTCAATCCAGAGTCAACCATGTGGGAGTCTAGCACCCTAACACCACACCACCTGCTGGCCACTGTGAAGCCATTCTACTTGCTCTTATCTCTTCTTCCTTCCTTAAGAAGATGGGGCCCAGCTGTTCTGCTGTCCCAAAACAAACTATCTAAAAACCTACCTAATAATAGCCCATGCTTTGAAGCTTTCTTCTTCCTTTCCCTCATCATCATCACTCCCATTTCCTTAAAACATTCCCCTTTGGTTTTAGTAGCAAGTACGTAAAAGAATACTACACTAAGGTATCATCTGAACGATCAATTTGCATTTTAGATCTACTAGCTCTGTTCCGTTTCTAAGGTCTCTAGATTTAGAGCTTTATGGACAAATGAACCTTTTGTTGAACCATTCTCTCAACCTTTTATGAGCATGGAAAACATTTTCTGTAAAGTGCTGTTTTAGGCTTTGCAGGCTATATAATTCCTATAAGGACTGCTCTTGTCATTTTAGCAAGAAGCAACCAAGAACATGGGTACATTAACTAAGAGGTGTGGCAATAAAGCTTTATTTATAAAAATAAGTAGTATGGGGGCCAGCAGGTGTCATGTTGGTTAAGACATTGGACTCCTATATGGCTTACTGTGGTTTGTGCCTTGCACCAGTAGCTTGAAAATCATGCTGGGCGTGTGTGCATGCATGCCCAAAACCCCAGGAGGAAAATGGAGGAAAAGGGATTGCAGCATGACCATCCATCCTGGGGGGTGATTTCTCACTTTCCCTCTCATTGTCTCTCTCCAGTGAGCACATATACTCTATGGCAAAAATCTTTAAAAATAAAATAATAAAATAAATAGCGTGACAGATTGCTGATCCCTGTTTTAGTCTCCCAAAAAAGGAATGTTGGTGGTTTCTAATCATTTCATCATTAGGGAGGAATTCCAGGAAGTTCTTGCTGTGGGAAATGTTCCTTTTGTCCTCTGACCTTCCAGCCCTTTCTTTTCTGACTGGAAATCATCCTGAGCACCTCCATTTCTTTACCACCTCTGCAGTTATTCACCATTCGTACTAGCTATAGGCTGTGGGCAGTGACAGGGTTACTGAAGGATTTTGAATGAGGGAGTGATTACAAACATCAATAAGCATTGCTTAGACTAGCCTGTGGCCTGGTGGTTATGGCAGCTGGATCCCACATGACTGACCATGCAGTTCCAGCCCTGGACCATACTGCCTCAGAAAAACACCGGGTAAATGTGTGCACATATCCAAAATCCCAAAAGGAGGGAGAGATGGAGGGAGTAGGGATTGCAATGTGACCATGCCCTGTGAGGAGTGCTTTCTCACTTTCTCTCTCTCTTTCTCTCTGGTGAGTGTGCACACCCTCTGGCAAATTAAAAAAAATAAAGAAAAAGAAAAAATTATTGCTGACTTTAGCTCTTTTTTAAATTTAATTTTATTTGTTATTATATTTTAATTTGACTAAAGAGAGAAAGAGAGAGAGAGAAAGTGAGAAAGCAAGCCACTGGGTCCAAACCATGGTCGGGTAAATGGGAGTTCAGCACCTTAACCACCACGCCACCCGCCAGCTCCACTGACTTTAGCTCTTAAATAGTTATACAAAACAATATTTTACTCTTCATTTGTTATAAAAGACAATATGTCACCATTTTATATATTATTATTATTATTATTATTTATACGTGCAATCACTGTACATCATTTAGAGTAAAAAGACTATCCAAGATGATAGACACCTCAGTCCAGCCCAGTTGAGAATACTGTACACATCCTCATCAACAGATAATAAACCATATCTGTGTCTCACAAATGTCTTACCTCTTTATTTTTTCCCCCAAATTTCCTTTCCTATGCTCTTCCCCACCTACATTCTCCTTCCACTTTGTCTCTAGTGTCCATAACAATTTTTAATGTTTTTATGTCCTTCAATCTTTGTCTCTATCATAGAATGCATATAGTCAGTATATGTTAGGTGGAAACATACAGTGTCTCTCTTTCATAGCCTGACTTGCTTCACTCAGGAACAAATCTTCCGTATTTGTCTACTTTCTATAAAATTCCAGCGCCTTGTGGTTTTTTAGGGCTGAATAAAATTCCACAGAGTATATGTGCCACACATTTTCAATCCATTCATCTGTTGGTGGACTTTCAGGTTGGTTCCATGTCTTAGCAATCGTGAATAATCCTGCAGTAAATATAGTTGTTCAAGCACTTCTCCAACTGAGTGTTCTCCCATCCTTTGGGTAGATACCCGGGAGTGGAATTGCTGGATCATATGGTAGTTCTATTTGAAGCTCTTTGAGGAACTTCCATATTGTTCTCCACAGTGGCTGAACCAATTTACATTCCCACCAACAATGTAGGAGTGTTCCCCTTTCACCACATCCCCTCCAGCATTTATCTTTTTTTTTTTTTTCAATCTTCGCCATTCTGACTGGGGTTAGGTGGTATCTCATTGTAGTTTTGATCTGCACCTTGGTAGTTTCATCTGGTTCATGATTTTCCATCTGAGCCTTATGCTTTTCTCCCGGCAGCCAGTGCCTCAGCCGAGTCTTCCTCAGTCGTGCCATGGCTCACTGCAACTTTTGTTCAACTTGCCTGGGCACAGCCATCTTTGCCTGACATGTGCTTTTCTTTATTGTTCTAAGGCTGCATTTTTATTTTTAAATTTTGCCAGAGGGCACATGAGCTCGTCGTCATGGGGATGGTGGGGAGGGTGGGGAGGGCTTGGAGAAACACCCTCATGAGGATTGGTCAAGCCATAGTCCCTTCTTCATTTCTCCCCTCTTTCAGAATCTTGGTACTCGCACACACACACTTAGCTCATTTCTCAAGCCACCAGGTCTGGGATTTGAACCAGGTATTCAGCCATGTAGGATCCAGCTATCTTAATCACTATACCATGAACTGACCCTTAAAGCTGCTTTTTAAAAATTCTTTATGGGGGCCAGCAGGTAACGTGGTGGTAAAGGGTGCTAGACTCCCATGTTGCTGAAGATAGTTCAAGCCCCAGACTTGGCAGCTTCTTTTCTCACTTTCTCTCTCTCTGTCTCTGTCTCTCTCTCTTTCTTTCTCTCTCATTCTTATTCTGCCCCTCTCTGGTCAAGTTAAAATAAGTAAATAAAGTTAAATAAGACAATTCTTTAAAATAAATAAAAATTCTTTGTGCATTGATCAAGCCAGAAGCTAGCATATAGGAGATTATTAGCATTGTTTAATTTTCTTCTTTTTTTTTTTGGCCAGAGAAAAGTATGTACTTGCCAGAAAGAAGAAAGAGTGACAAAGCAGTCCTCCATGGGGAATGGTCATGTTGCCATCCTCTTTCTTCCACCTCTCTCTCCTTTAAGGATTTTGGGCATGCATGCACATGTGCTTTTGGGCATCCTGATTTTAAAAAAATTTTTATGCATTGATAGAGGCAGGAGCTAGCATATATGAAATTGTTAGTATTGAATTTTGAAAAATTTGAGATAAAGAGCTAAGTTTTAAAATAAATTTTATGGGTTACATAGGTGAAAGTTGAAGTCTCAGTGAGGAACTGGCAAATGATTTGGGGATATAGGAAATTTTAGTGTATGTAATAAATTTTAATAAAAAATGCATCAGCATTTGTCATTGGATTCAATATATTTCCAAAATTACTAACTCCTACTTTCTGTTTTAAAAACTTTAGGGTCAGTTGGATCTCTTAAGAAGCAATACTGGCCTTTTATATAGAATAAAGGACTCACAGAATGCTGGGTAAGCATTTTATTTTTTAAATTAAAAAAATGCTAATTATTACAAAAATAAGAGAGATGTTTAGGAAAAAGCTGATACAAAATTGCATAATGTAAGGGTGTCCTGCATATCATCTCTACCTTGTATCAATTCCCAGAGACAACTGCCCTTAATAATTTGGTTTATATCCTTTCTTCTAGTTGTATATAAATATACATAGATGATTATATATTTACATGCTATATACTTATAATCATTTTCTTTCTTTTTTTTTTTTTTTTAAACAAAAATGGGATCATGCTACCCATACTGTACTGTAACCTCTTTTTTTCACTTACTGTGCCTTGGACATCTTTTTATGTTGGTACATATAGCTCTGTCTCAGTCATTCTAAGGTAAGCCCTTCTTTTGGTGAATAAGATGTTGTGACAACCTAATTTAAGTAGTCAGATTATTAGATTACCCTGTACCTCTTTGCCTTTTTAATCCTACTTTATTTCCCTGCAGTAAAATGAAGGGCTCAGATAATCAAGAAAAACTAGTATATCAAATCATAGAGGATGCAGGAAATAAAGGTAAGCATGTGAAGGATGAAGAAGGAAAAAACACTGTCTTTGGGAGTGGATAAAGGGGCTGAGATCTGGCCTCCCCGAGTGTAGCTCAGTGTGTAGAGTATGTTGCATTTTGTAAAAGGGGGAGGAAGGGAATACAGCATACCCCATCTCATTATGCCTCTACATTTGGAAGGATATGAAGGAAAATATTTTTATGACTATCCCCTCTCCAAATATAGCCCCTATTTCCTTCTTTGAAAGAGAAATCACGGCTTGTGCCACACAGGGCATTTACTGGCTGTAAGAACCACAGGCTTCCTTTATCCATGTCACAAGTACAGTGTCGTACAAATAGTAGATGTGGGCCAGCCAGTAGAGCTCTGGTTAAAGTAGCTGGATCCTCCATGGCCACCTGTACAGTTGAGTCCTAGACCCAGCAGCCAGGCTCATGTGTATAGATGCTCAGAATCCCGATAGAGGGAGAGATGGAAAAGAAGGGATTATGACTGATCATTCCCATGAAGGGTTCTCTCCCCTATCTTATCCTCAGCAAGTGTACAAGCATTCTGGCAAATTCTTAAAAATATATGAAACCTAAATAAATAATGGGTATATAATAGTATATGCATACAGGTATTTGTCTAGAGAGGCTTCTGCTCCCAATTGAGGATAGCATTTGACGTGAACTCAAATTTAAGTTTGTTTTTCACATTTACAATCTCAAGTGAAAATGTCAGAAAGCATAGTTTAGGGTACAGGGATTAATTTAGTAGCATTCGTGATTTTTTTTCTTCTTATGAAAATGTCCTTTTCATGTATTTTTAAAAAGGTACCATACTGTAATCCAAAACATTTCCAGCTAGAATATAAAACACATGACTTACTGTTTTGCATACTTTTGCTACTTTATCCAAGGTTCTTACCTCTAACTAACCTAATTTTTCCTACACTATACTTTAAAAAACCTTTTTGTTGAAAGGTTTGCTCTCCTTTATTTTAATAGTTTTAGAATGAGATTTTGAGTTATAAGAACAGAAACAAAATTCCATGAACACCGTAATTCAACTTACTTTACTTTCTTACAGGAATATGGAGCAGAGATATCAGGTACAAAAGTAATTTGCCATTAACAGAAATCAACAAAATCCTGAAGAATTTGGAAAGTAAAAAGCTTATTAAAGCTGTGAAGTCTGTAGCAGTGAGTAGGGCTTTTTTTCTCCTCAAATATTTACTTACATATATTGCTCCAAGTGCAGTCCAGATTTTTATTGGTGTGTATGTATGCATGTGTATATGTATGTCTATGTGTCTGTGTATTTTAGACAGGTATCATGTCATGGCCCTTCCCCCTCAGTCGACCGTGAGTAGATGAGACTGTTGAAGCACACCGCCACAGCCAGCTTTTAGAGTGAGCTGGAATCAAACCCAGGCCTCCCATGTGGCCTCAGCCTGCCCAGCAGTGGTAGCTAGCCTCTGCTACTATAGCAGGGCCAAGTCTCTTTTATTTAGGCTATGTCTTGATTTAGAACAGCCAGTCAAGGGCCTGTACTGAATTGCAGTGATTAAATGTGGTGCATATGGAGCTGGATCCTACATGCCAACCACAGTTCGAATCCTGGCCTTGGCAGCTTGAAAAACACTTGAGTATGGGACCAGCAGATGGTATAATGGTCATGTTGCTGGGCTCCCACTTGGTTGACTACAGTTTAAATTCCAGACCCAGTGGCTTAAAACTCACACTGGGTGTGTGTGCCTGCATGCCCAAGATCTCGAGAGGAGAATGGAGGAGAAGGGATTGCAGCATGGCCATCCCTGGGGGGTGATTTCTCACTTTATGTCTCTCTCTGTCTCTCCAGTAAGCACATGTGCCCTAAAACCAAACTCTCTCAAAAGAAAAAAAAAAAAATGGAGGTAGAGGGCCAGCTGATTGCATGGTGGCTAAGGCAGCTCTATCATACATGGCATAGTCCCAGTCCCAGCAGCTTTGAAAACACACCAGGCACATGTGCATGCGCTAAGGGCAGACTGGAGGAGAAGGGATTGCAGCGTGGCCATCCTCCCTTCGGGAATGATTTCCCACTTTCCTTCTCTCTGTTTCTCTCCAGCAAGAACATGTGCCCTATACCAAAAATGAGTGGATTTAGGGGGATCTCAGGGTAGAATATAGAATGTAACAAAAGAAACTAAATGTATGAGAAATAAAGGAAACAACCTCACTGAAGATGGGAGAGGAAAAACTTTGAAAATGAACTGGTGTCTGTAAGACTGACTGAAGGCATGAGGGAATGTACACAAGCACCATACTTATTTCCTGTGCGAATCCTGGTTATTCATTCTGATACCACTATTCATAGCAAACATATACTCAAGTGGTGGGTGCTGGCTACAATGCAGTTTTGACATTACCCAGTTTTAGGTCAAATTTTACAGGTTAAAGGCATAGCCTCCTATAGGCTGACCTCACTTTAGATATACCAGTTGCAAGTTCAAGGGTCCCTGGCCACCCACACTTTGACCATCTGGTTAAAAATGTGGGTGTTTGTACTTACATAGGCATGATTGATTGACTCCTTGGCCACATGGTTGAACTGAGTCTCCAGTCCTCCCAAGAGGCTGGACTGATGTCATGTAGCTCAAAACACCAACCCTTTAATTATATGGCTTGATCTTTCCAACTGTTTAGGGGCCCGCTTGTAGTTACTTGGTTAATATAAACTCAAGTGTGGTCCATGGGACCCACCATGAATAAGGATCCTCCTATTGGGAAATTTCAGTGATGTAGAGGTTACCTTCTAGGAACCAGAGACAAAAACTAATTGAATTTTTTTTTTTAAGACGTCTTTGCCCTAGGGTACATATACTTGCTGGAAAGAGAGAGAGACAGAGGGAACGTGAGACATCACTCCACAGGGGGATGACCACACCACAGTCCCTTCTCCTCCTAGGATCTTGGGCACATATGCATATGTGCCCAGCGTGGTTTTCAAGCCACCAAGTCCAGGACTTAAAACACGGTCAGCCATGTGGGAGTCCAGCGATGTAATCACTATGCCACTTGCTGGCCCCTCACATTCTTTATTGAACAACAGTGGGATTCAGATTTCTCACTGGTGGATTGGGAGGTTACAGATAAACAAGGGACAAAGTCTAGAATGATCCATGTGGTAATAGATTAGAATTGGAGATATCAGTACGAACTCACATTAAATATAAATATAGATGATTACATGTAGGAATATTATTACAAATATGTATATCTACAGAGGTTAGTACAGATCTCCTTGCTCTGTCAGCTAACCAAATCTTGGTTTCTGATACCATTTTCCAGTATAACTAAACTACTCCAAGGGCTCCTTGGAATAATGGCTGATTCTAAGACTCAGGCAAGAATTATACAAGATAATCCCAACATCTTACAGTGCCAGAAGGTACAAAATGCTGAAATACAAACATGCCCCCACACACAAATGATGGGGGTATGTCAGAGGGATACAGAAAACAACCAAAGCTTCCATTGCTTAAAGCTGGAACAACTGGGATAACAAAGTAGTACTGAGTTGTCATTCACAGTGTAAAGTAAATATTCTTGAGTCCGTACTGATAAAAATAAGAGCTTGAGAAATTTCCAAAACTTAAAAGAAGCCACAATGACAACAAAATGTAATGTGGTGTCCTGGATGGGACCGTGGAGCAGAAAAAAGACATTAGGGTAAAACTAATGAAATCTGAATAAAGTATGGATTTCAGCTAACAATAATGTATCAATATTGGATCGTTAGTTGTGACAAGTGTACCACAGTAACACACGATGTTAGTAATAGGTGAAACTGGGCGCGGAGTACATGGGAACTTTGTACTATCTTTGCAAATATTTCTGTACATCTAAAACTTTTCTAACATATAAAGTTTTTTTTTTAATAATTTTAATTTGTGGAAACTGGTCTTATAAATACATGAAAGTGTGTGCTCTTTTCTAGGCTTCAAAAAAGAAGGTGTATATGCTCTATAACCTACAGCCAGACCGGTCTGTGACTGGTGGAGCCTGGTATAGTGACCAGGATTTTGAATCTGAATTTGTAGAAGTGCTTAACCAGCAGTGTTTTAAATTCCTACAAACCAAGGTGAGGCATATTTGAAGAAACATCAGTGCAAATCTTTGTTTTTTGGCTTTTTTTAAAAAAGTTTGTTCATAATGGGGCTGGCAGGTGGTGTGGTGATTAGGGTGCTAGATTCCCACATGGCCAACTGTGGTTCGGGTCCTGGACCTGATGCCTTGCTTTCTCACTCTCCCTCCCTCTCTCTGGTCAAATTGAAGAAGAAGAAGAAATAAAATTAATAAATAATAAAAAATGTTAAATTCATTAAAAAATGTTTAATCTTATGTATCACATTTTATATAAACGCTCATTTTTTTTGTTTTTACTAAACAAAGCATATATGCCATTGGTTTGACTCAGTATAAATTGTATTCAGAAAGCATCCATCAGCAGAGCTGGCCCCATGGCACAGCAGTTAAGCACTGTGCATTGGGAACCAGATCCTGCATGGCTGACCACAGTTTGAGTCGTGGACTCTGAGGCTTGAAAAACTTGCTGGGTTCATGTGTATGTGTGCCTCAAATCCTGACAGGATGGAGAAATGGAGGAAAAAAGTATTGTAACATCCCCACACCCCGTTGGGGAGTACACGTGCTCTCGCTCTCTTTCTCTCTCTATCTGGTGAGCACACAGGCCCCTGGCAATTATAAAAGAGAGAGAAAAAGTATTTACCAGTATTCTTGCTTAGGTCTCTTATGTTTCAACCCTCATAGGCAGAAACAGCACGGGAAAGCAAACAGAATCCAATGATACAACGAAATAGTTCATTCGCTTCATCACATGAAGTGTGGAAATACATCTGTGAATTGGGGATCAGTAAGGTCAGAACAGCTTCTAACCTTTTGACGTAATTTTCATCTGATTGTTAAAAACATATTCTTCATCATAAAAATATAGATTACAGGGACCAGCAGGTCCATAGTGGTTAAGGCACTGGACTCCTACAAGGCCAATGATGGTTTGAGCCCCAGACCCAGTAACTCGTAAATCACAATGGGAGGGCCAGCAAGTGGCATAGTGGTTAAGGCACTGGACCCCTACATGTTCAGCCGGGGTTTGTGTCCCAGACCTGGTGGGACTGGGAAAAGTCATGGCAAAAGTCATGACTGGTGAAAGTCATATCTGGCAAGTGCATGCTCAAAATCCTGAGAGAAGACTAGAGAAGAGATTGCAGCATGACTGTCCCCCTGGGGGGTGATTTCTTGCTTACTGTCTCTCAGACAAATGCACACTCCCTATAGCAAAAATCTCCCAAAAAGAAAATCGCACTGGGTACGTGCATGTGCAAGTGTAAAATCCCAAGGGGAGAATGTAAGAGAAGGGATAGCATGGCCGTCCCTCCTAGGGGGTGATTTCTCACTCTCCCTCTCTGTCTCTCTCCAGTGAGCACACACACCCTATGGCAAAAAACTAAAAACACTAAACTGTGTTCCACACATAATTGGACCATACTCCTCTTTCAGATGATAACTGACCATTCTGCAGAATCTGTTTTCAGAAAATATTATCCTAAGCACTAAGCAAAGGAGGCTATTGCCAGTAGACACTGTTTGATCTGTTCTCGAGGTCGGGACAGAGAGTAGCAGCATCATGGCTGTATAGTTCTCCACCCAAGTTCAAAAGTTTGTCATGGGGGCTACTAGCAGGTGGTGTAGTGATTAAGGCACTGGACTCCCATAAGGGGAATCACGATTTGAGTCCCAGACGTGATGGCTTGAAAACCAGGCCAGGTGCATGTACATGTGTGCTCAAAATTCCCAGGAGAGACTGGAGAAGGGATTGCAGCATAGCCATCCCCCCTAGAGGGTGATTTCTCATTTTCCTTCTCTGTCTCCAAAGAGTTGCATGTGCTCTATGACAAAAACCTTTTTAAAAAAAGTTTGTAGTGATAAATCCTTGCCTTTCTCAGGGACATTTCAGCATATGTGCAGAGTTTCAATTGTATCATTGGCTGTCATTTATTGGCGTTTTTTCCCTTAGGAGATTATGTTAAGTCTTTAGGAAAGTCATGATATATTTTTCTGTTTTTCTACGTAAAAATGCATCATGACTTTCCTAGCCATCTAATAAGTAGTGTCATTCGCACATTCTTTTGAAGATCATAAGGACAGATGTGTTTCATGGTCAAGAGAGGCACTTAGTCATTTTCATTTCCAGGGCCACAGATTTCTCATTTAAAAAGTACAGAGAACTGGGACTATTTGATGTCTCATATATCTTTGTGTTTAAGCTTTTTGTAAGTCTCTATCAAAATCTTGCCAGCGAAATGTTGCTATAAAAGACATAGATTTTACTTGGAAGAGTGAAGACAGAAAGTGTCCCCCTCAGTATGAGGTTACACCTGTTTTCAGTGATTTGTGCTAACTTGACCCATTGTTCACTGTGTTTTTGATAACTTCTCCCCATTTCAGTAGAGAACTGTGCCCCATTGCTGTTTATAACGCCCTTCAGGTAGAGGTTTTCTTATCCTTTTTGCATCTCTTCTAACGTAACCCTTTTTTAGGTAGAGTTGTCCATGGAGGACATCGAGACCATCTTGAATACACTCATTTTTGATGGGAAAGTGGAGATGACTATCATCGCTGCAAAGGAAGGCACAGTTGGCAGTGTAGACGGACACATGAAGCTGTACAGGGCAGTCAGTACAATCATCCCACCCACCGGTTTGGTCCGGGCACCCTGTGGACTCTGCCCAGTGAGTTAAAGTCACTTAAGTTTATCCTTGATTGCCCCGAGGTACAAATGCCATGTAAAGAAACAAATCAAGCACATCCCAGTTTTCTCACGTTCTTAGAGTTGACCAAGAGCTGTTCAGACCGCCATATAACCTTAATGAGCAGACCTTAAAGAACTTCATTGCAGGGCCAACAGTTGGCATGGTGGTTAAGGTGCTAGATTCTCACATGGCCCACCACGGTTCACCATGGTGGTTTGCTTACTCTCGCGCGCACACGCTCTTTCTCTCTCTGGTGAGCGCATGTGCCCTGTAGCAAATTAAATAATAATAATAATAATAATAATAATAATAATAATGAGGGAACCAGCAGTTAGCATAATGGCTATGTCATTGGACTCCCATGTAGTCGACCGCGGTTCACGTCCCAGACCCGGTGGCTTAAAACTCACGCCGGGCACATGTGCATGCATGCCCAAGATCCCGAGAGGAGAATGGAGGAGAAGGGATTGTGGCGTGACCATCCCCCCTTGGGGGGTGATTTCTCGCTTTCTGTCTCTATGTTTCTCTCTGTCTGTCTGGCGTGCGCACGCGCCCTATAGCAAAAATCTCTCCAAAAAAATAAAATAAAATAACCGAAAAAAAAAAAGAATAATAATAATGAGAAATATAAGGAAAAAAATCACAGCCATACATTGTTTCTTGGAATTACAGAGTTAAGGACATTTGTGTCTTCTGTTCTTGGCCCTGAAATGGACACTTTTTGTTGAGGTGAGAGTTATTTAACCTAAGTAGGGAGGGAAGTGAGATTTGTTGAGAACCTACCACAGGTCAGGTATGTTCTTGATGATGCTCTTAGGTAGTTTTATTGAATCTACCTCATGTCCTTGCAGCTAGTGGTATTATATCCATGTTGAGAGTGAGTGAACTTGGGCTTAGGGAGACCTTAGACCAGACAGCTTGGAAGTATCAGGCCCAGAGGTGATGTCTCTCCTGCAGCATGCTGTAGGTTCTTTACTCGTTTATTCCCAGATAGTTTAACTCACCACCATGTGCCAGTCACTGAGATGTGACAGAGGGCAAGAGAAACTTTCCCGGTCTTCGTGGCATTTAATGTTCTTGGGCTACTAATCTGCTTTATTAAATCATTATACTGACTTTGTCTGTATGCCTAAGCTCTCTGCTCTGGTTTCAGCTCCTACAATAGATAAGAAGCTAACAATACTGAGAATTTTTTTATTAGCATCCTTCACAAAAGAAGGTAGCTAAACATAAAACATTCAGTTAGTTGAAAGTAAATCATTGTAAAAGAAAAAAAAAAAGTAAATCAATGCAAGGAGTCTTCAAAAAGTTTATGGAAAATACATATTATGAAAAAACTTGGGCATTTCAAGATATTTTTGCACCAAAATAGACTCATACTTTGATTCATTTCCCACAAACTTTTTGAAGTTCTCTCTACAGGTTTCCCCTCCCGCAGTCCTGTTGGCAGCCTTCTGCCAGTGAATAAGTGAATGTCATGCCATAGTAAAAGGCTTCTCATGGCTAAATTGATGATGACAAAGCAGGCCTTATTATATGTTCTTAAATGTAGTCCTAATCCCTTTCAATTTAACTTCTGTTTTTAATATTGTCTTGGATATTTTAAAACTCTAGTTTTGAATATAAACTGTTCTTTTCTTTCTTAAAGGTTTTTGATGACTGCCATGAAGGTGGAGAGATTTCACCATCTAACTGTATTTATATGACGGAGTGGCTTGAATTTTAATAGAGAGCTATGAACGTTATTGACATTTTGCAAATGAAGTTACTTTGGGAGCAAACAATTTAATTCATGACGGACTATCAAGTTTTCTTGAAAGAAAACTTCACAATTATGGATATAGACTTGTTGCTATGAAAATATATTTTTTTATTTATGAAGACAAAATTTTTATTGGTTAAGTAGCCAAAAGAATATGAAACAGATAAGCTTAATGGTGGAGTTCATTCTTCAATAAATAAAATACTTTGAAGCTCTCTGGAGAACTACATCTTTTGAAGCTTTCAAGACTTTAATTGCTTCCAGGAATAAGAAGCCAACAAACCCATATTTATCCAGTACTATGGTAATGGCTAGAATGCAAAAGTGTTCATTTTAAATTAAGTTCTTCATTACGTATTTCTTATATCTGCTTCACTGCTACCATTTCATTTTCTATTTTCTCATAAATTTTAAGTGGTAAAGGCAGGAATATCAGGGGAGTGTACATAAACTTGAGACATGAATAGGGAGAAAGTGGAACATCCTTTTCACACACTAGAATTCCTTTTTATATCCAAATTATTTTGAGGATTATGCCACCATATTTACTTCAAATGCAAAGGATGACTCTTATCAAAGGTTATGTTTTCAGTACATAAACACTAGTTATCAGGAACCAGCAGTTAGCATAATGGCTATGTCGCTGGACTCCCATGTAGTCGACCGCGGTTTGCATCCCAGACCCGGTGGCTTAAAACTCACGCCGGGCGCGTGTGCATGCGTGCCCAAAATCCCGAGGAGAATGGAGGAGAAGGGATTGCGGTGTGACCATCCCCTCTGGGGGGTGATTTCTCATTTTTTGTCTCTATGTCTCTCTCTCTCTGTCTGGCGAGCACACGCGCCCTATAGCGAAAAGCTCTCCAAAAAATAAAAAAATAAACACTAGTTATCATTCTCATCCTAACTTTGTTAGTGTAAGTTTTACTCTGTGGCTCAATTATAGAATTTGCTAGAATTTTCAGTCTTATTTAACATCTGTAAGACTGAATGTTTCTGTCTCCCCCAACAGAGTCATATGCTGAAATCTAATCCCCAGTGTGATAGTATTTGGAAGTGGGGCCTTTATGAGGCAATAGATCATGAGGGTAGAGTCCTTAATAATTAGTGCCCTTATAAAAGAGTTCCAGAGAATTCCATCACCCTCTGCCCTGTGAGGACCCAGCGAGAAGGAGACAACTGCCTATGAACTGGGAAATGGCCCCTCACCAGACATTGAATCTGCCAGTGCCTTGATCTTGGACTTCCACCTCCAGAATTATGAGAAAGAAATTTCTGTTGTTAACTACCAGCCTATGGTATTCTATTATAGCAGACAAAATAGAGTAAGACAATGTCTCTAATCATTTAACCAAATTAAAACTAAAAACAATCTGTTGCCCATCATACGTACTTTGTGTGTATGGGAGGAGGCCCATTCTTTTTTTCTTGTCCTGTTGTATATTTATTTTCTTGGTCTGTTCTAAAAATCAGTGTGATGTTGGAACGGAAAGCCACTATTACTGTCCTCAATTTTACTAGCACTTTTCATTTCCAATCACAAACTATATAGAAAACACTAGGTTATTTGATGTATTGTTGTGCAGAAATTAGTTGTAGGGCTGTTTAGGATCACAGCTGCTGTATTTTTACTTTGTAATTCCACTGATAAGTTTCTTTTTTTTAATTTTTTTTTTAGTTTTTGCTATATGGTGCATGCACTCGTCAGAGAGACAGAAAGAAAGAAATCACCCACCCCCGGGGGGGTGGGGGACGGCCCCACCGCAATCCCTTCTCCTCCATTCTCTTCTCGAGATCTTGGGCATGCACGCACACGCACCCAGCATGAGTTTAAGCCACTGGGTCCAGGACTGGAACTGTGGTCAGCTACATGGGAGTCCAGCGACATACCCATTATGCCAACTGCTCATCCCAAATAAAAGAATTCCTTATATTTATATTTACTGGGACCAGCAGATGGTATAGTGGTTACATTGCTGAACTCCCACATACCCAACTGGTCTGAGTTCTAGACTTGGCAGCTTGAAACTCACACTGGGCATGTGTGCATGTGTGCCAAAAATCCCAAGAGGAGACTGGAGGAGAAGGGTTTGTGGCATGGCCATCCCCTCTGGGGGGAGATTTCTCACTTTCTGTCTTTCTGGTGAGTGCACGCACCCTATAGCAAAAGTCTCTTAAAACAATTTTTTAAAAAAGAATTGTTCCCAGTGTTTGGATCTCTTCATGGTCACACAAGATGAACTCTTCGGGAAAGCAAAATCCAAGGCCCCGCCACCCAGCCTGACTGACGGCATTGGCACTGTGGACAGCAGGGCAGAATCCATTGACAAGAATTCTCGATTGGATGCTGAGCTAGTGAAGTATAAGGATCAGATTAAGAAGATGAGCAGGTCCTGCAATGGTATAAGCAGCAACAATCTCACCCAACAGTCATTTAACATGGAACAAGCCGGATACACCGTCCAGTCATTGAAGGACACCAAGACCATGGTCGATGCTATGAAACTGGGAGTAAAGGAAATGAAGAAGGCATACAAACAAGTGAAAATGATCAGATTGAGGATTTGCAAAACCAGCTACAGGATATGAATGAAGATGCAAATGAAATCCAAGAAGCACCAAGTTGAAGTTATTGCACCCCAGAATTAGATGAAAATGACCTAGAAGCAGAGCTGGATGCACTGGATGATGACCTTCTGGCTGATGAAGATGGTTCTTACTTGGATGAAGCAGCATCTGCACCTGCAATTCCAGAAGGTATTCCCACTGACACAAAAAACCAGGATGGAGTCCTGGTGGATGAGTTTGGATTGCCACAGATCCCTGCTTCATAGATTCACGTCATTCAAATATATCCCAAAAATTAATATTCTGAGGACTAGGAAATATTTATCTTTACCATGACAGATTTAGGTTTCTCTCCTTTCCTTTGGGGAAAAGTTAATTATACTTTTTATTTTTCATCCATTAAGAGCTCATTGCTTGGGGGATGCTTTCTTGGTACTAAATTTGATTCCTTTTCTCTTATGAAAGACTAATGTACTTACATGTATCTTTGGCTTTGTATGAATTCTTTTTATTTATTAATAGTAATTTTAAATAGAACCAAGGAAGTGGAATCTTTAAATTCTGTACAGTATAACTCTACAGTTTCTATGTGACCCAACAAATTGATAAGATGAAGTTGAGATTATTGGGACTGTTTGTATTATGATTCAAAACAATTTTCTATTGTGATATTGTAGCTTGGTTAAAGTGGTAGTCTTTTTTGATGGGTTTTATTGTGTCTTGTGAGCAGATCATTACTGTGTCCATTGTTGGAATGAAACTATCACTACTGTATCATGAGTGGATATTAATTCTATGGTTCTCTCAGTATTATAGCCTGACTTGTAATCAATACTATTTCTTGATATTTAATGTATAGGACATTTATTTATACTCAGTATTTTTCAAGAGGAAAAAATAAGAATTTTTTGACTAGCAGGTAGCATGGTGGTTGGTGATTCTGGATTCCCACATGGCTGCCCACGGTTCAAGTCCTGGACCTGTGGCTTGCTTTCTTACTTTCTCTCTCTCTTTTTCTCTCTGGTCAAATTAAAATAAATAAAGTTAAATAATTCTTTTTTAAAATATTTGTTATTTTTTAAAGAATTATTTATGTGATTTTAATTTGCAACAGAGCACATGTGCTCACCAGAGAGAGAGAGAGAGAAAGGGAGAATGAGAAAGCAAGCCGCCAAGTCCAGAACTTGAACCACAGCCGACCATATGGGAGTCCAGCACCTTAACCACCACACTACTTGTCAGCCTCAGTATTCTTTTTTAATTTGACTAGAGAGAGACAGAAAGGGAAAACAAGCTGCCAGGTCCGGGACATGAACCTCAGTTGGCTGTGCGAGAGTCTCAGCGCCTTAATCGCCATGCCACCTGTCGGCCCCCCTCTTTAAACTTTTTTCCCATAGCACATTTTTTATTCTAAATATTAACTGAAGGAGGGAAAAAAAAGCTAATTTTAAAATATGGCACCTTGATATATTAAGTGGATTATTTATACAACATAGATAAACTGACAAAAAACAATGGACCCTAGACTTGTGATGACACCAAAAAATCACATTGTGAAAGAAGTCATAATATAGCAGATTCCCATTTAGTCATAGGTATTCTGCTCACCCGAGAATAAATACTCCCCAGAGTCTGTTGAACCCCTCTATGTTTAATAACGATTCATACAGAGACTCAAATCAGTCTGTGACTTTTTGCTTTTATCATTTTATTTTATATATTCAGTCACTATAAGCATCACTCCAGCTTATAAAGTGAATTCACCCAACAGGAATACACTTCACAGTCTATGACTTTTGAGTAACAGTTTATGTAGATTCTTGCATGAAATTCCTCTGATCTTAGTTTGGCAGTGAACCAGTTTTATAGACCCATGATGTTGATGGTGATGAAACTCTTAGGGTAACTTGTCAAACAAGATTTCAAACTGACTCACTTACTTTGAACTATTCATTATTGGATGGTGGGTGGCAAGATTTAAAACATGTGCTGTAGACCAGTGCTGTCCAATAGAGCTTTCTAGGTGGAAATATCCTAGATCTGCTGTCAAAGAAGGTAACCGCCAGTTCAGGGAGCTTCTGGACACCTGGAATATGGCCTCTTCAAGTAAAGAACTGAGTTTTTAATTTTATAGCCACCCATGCCTTCTGGTTACTGTAGCATAGTTCAACAGTCAAAAAAGTCTATCTTAATGATTTTCACAGGAATGACTTCTCAGCTTGTGTGTGTGTGTGTGTGTGTGTGTGTGCATGTGTAAATGTTTATTTGTTTGTTTATTTCTCCTCCATGGAGGAAGAAAACAACTATTATGAACTATTATTTATATGTTTGTCATTTTTTAAAGAAAGGACTTCACAAAACAATGCAGAGAAATTCAACTATGTACTATTCCAAACAATTCAAGTAGAATCAAGTTTTAATTATAGGCTTGGTCAAATCAGTGCTAAATGGCCTGAAAATTATTATTCAGCTGATTTATCTCATTTTTATAATTTGTCAGAATAACTTGTTTTAAAATCATAATTTTCATTACAAAAGTAATACACATTCAGTGTAACAAATTCAAATAATTCCCAGGTGGACAAAGTAAAACAGAGATATCCGCTATGCTCGACCTGCCAAAATTCCTGTTCCTTAAAGGTAGCTGTGGTCAGAAGTTTAGAAATACTTTCTTGACTTTCATTATCTAAGCACATTTACAACCCAAAAGACTTTCAGGTTATAGTGATGGTTCTGAGTCCCCTTTGGACATAAACATTGTGGAAATCAACATTTTTCTGAGAAATCACAGTGCCCTAGCAAACTCAGACTCTGCAGCATCACTTTATGGTGAATTTAATTGCAAATTATTTGAGGCAGCACTTAGGAATCAATCATGATAGCCAAAAAGGGGGGAAATGGAGGAATGATGCTTCAAAGGGATCTAATGGAAGATCGAAGTTAAACAGTTGAACATTTACAGAGCGAAGTTTCAAGTACAGAAAGGTTATTTTAAAAAACACTAAAGCCTTTGTAACAAAATCCAAATTGTTCCCATGATCTCATTCTTTGACATTCTGCTTGGTTATCTTAGGCTTTCTTGGACTCTACAGACTCATCTAAAAGCCCTGGGCTAAGTTAATACAACAGAACTCACAAATGAATGGCTTGGATTTTGTGTCTTGCAGTGTGTGTAAATGTTTTGATATATGGTGTTAGTTGCCAGCGAATATAGTCCACATGTATGTGGACTGGACATGATTTTATGGACATACATAATTTAAAAACCACTGTGCAAAGATTTTTCCTAAAAAAAAAAAAAAAAAAACCCAGAAAACTGGCAACACCTTGCCAAGTTTCTACATGGCAACAATTTAGACAAGGCAAGAGCTCTCCGTGTCACCTTGGTCCCTACCACTCTCGTCTTACAGACCTACTCACTGTGTTCATGTGATACTTAGATACGGGCAGGCTGCACTTCCATTCTTGGCCTGACTCCCGCAGATCCCTGACTTGGCACCCTTACCTATCAGTCACTCTCCAGTGTCTGAAGGATTGGGGAACGGTCACCAAAGGTAAAGGCCCTGGTGTGGGTTTAACTTCCTGGGCCACCTTGCTAGTATTTTGAGCTCTAAGCTAACACTGGACCTATAATCATGTTTTCTTTTTCAAATAAAATATAAAAGGTTGGGCCAGCCTTGCAGCTCGGTAGTTGAGAGAACCAGAACCATTTCCAAGCTCAGTTCAAGTCCTGGCCCCAGCAACTTTGGGAACAAGGTGAGCGCATGTGCCTATGTGTCTGATCCTGATGGAAGGGAGGAATGGAGGAGGGGGACTGCGGTGTGGCCGTGTTCCACTGGGCATGCTTTGCTTTCTTCTGAGAGCACCTGTCCTCTGCCAACCTATAAAAGCTATGTGTCAAAAGAAAAAGAGTGCAGTATATGCACGAAACTTATTAGTTATAATCTGGAGTGGGAATCAGGAAACCTGAGCTCCATTTCTGACAACTCACATAGGGTAGAGAAAGGTAGTTAGGCTGGCCTTCTGTCCCTTACGAAATGGGAAAATGACTACTGTCATTCACAATGGTGAATGGGAAGACTGAGTTTGTGTAAAATGAAAATGCTGTTTGTAAGTTAATTTGAACCTTGAAACTTGTGTTTTTCAGGCACTTTTGGAACTTAACTGATGTTTTGTGTCTAGCTGTCTGATATTACTCTGCCCCTCTGATGGAATGCAGAAGTAGAGGAAGTAGCCTGTCTATGCTTGCACGTTGAGCATAGACTTTACCACACTAACTAGTTCATGAAACTCTGTGTTTTGAAAGTGGCCGCGGTCAGTGAATTTGTGCAGTTTGGTTTCCAACCTGTCAGCCACTTCCTGCTGTTCCTTCCAGGGAAGGAAAGGATCATCAGTGGATCCAAACTGCACAATGTGAGGGCAGTTGGCCTTGATCTTCTCCCACTGCCAGGGGCGGCTGAAGTATCCTAGGGGGAAAAACACAGCCTATCAGTGCCCATGGATAATCTTTATTCTGGATACCCTAAAACATCTAGCAGAGGACCAACCAGGTGGTATGGTGGGTAAGACAGCTGGATCTCACATGACCAACTGTGTGGTTCAAGTCCCAGACTCAGTAGCTTGAAAAACACGCAGCACATGTGCATGTGTACCCAAAACCCCAAGAGGAGAATGGAGGAAAAAGGATGGCAGCTTGGTTATCACCCCAGGGTGGGGGGGTACTTACTTCCTCCTGTCTCTTGGTGAGCACATGTATCTACAGCATATTTTAAAAATAAACAATCTTGGGACAAGCAGGTGGCATAGTGGTTAAGGTGCTGGACACTCTCACATGGCTGACCACGGTTCAAGTCCTGGACCTGGTGACTTGCTTTCTCACTTTCTCTCTCTGTCTCCCTCTGGTCAAATTAAAAAAATAAATGAATGAGTAAATAAAATAAAATAATTCTTTAAAAATAATAAATAATGTCACAGAAACTCTTACAGAGCCACAAAGAATCAGAGCCCAAGTGTGGTTAGAAGCACTTTTATTTTCAAATCTATAGGCTTGACACCATAGCTACTTATGAAGGAGAGTATGGCTCAAGTAAAGTCAGGCTTCTAGGGGTCATTTCTAAACTATGGATTGGAAGATCTCCCATCTCTCAAAGTGCTTAATTTTTTAGTGTTTCTGCCTTCAGACTTACCACTAGCACGCTCATTTTCATCCCCCAGGTCTGAAGTGTATGCAGACACTAATATGATAGCATAGACTCGATGCGTTTCTGCATACCTGGAGAGAGAAAGATGACACTGGCTAATAGTGTTAACTGTGGCAACCAAAACATCAACGACTCACTTTAAAACTCATTTGAGGGGGGGCCAGCAGGGTGGTGTGTGGTTAAGGGTGATAGACTCCCATATGGCTGACCACGGTTCAAGTCCCAAACCTGGCAGCTTGATTTCTCACTTTTCCTCTCTCCCTCTCACTCTGTCCTTCTCTAGTCAAATAAAAAAAAAAAAAAAAGAAAGAAAATAAGAAACTTCATTTGAGGAACCAGCAGATGGTGTAATGGTTAGATTGTTGGACTCCACGTAGTTGACCACAGTCCAAGTCCTGGACCTAACAACTTCAAACTCACACCAGCGTGTGTGTGTAAATGTACAAAATCCTGAGAGGAGAATGGGGGAGAAGGAGCTACAGCATAGCCATCCCCCAGGGGAGTAAATTCTCACTTTCCATCTCTCTGTCTCTCCGGTGAGCACATGCACTCTATAGCAAAAAATCTCTACCGGGAGAAAACAAACAAACAAAAAAAGCTCATTTGATGTAGCTCACAAATAGTTTGTGCTATAAGCTGTTGAGGATGATACCGAAACTAGCAAGGAAACTATAAAACTCAAGCCCAATCTTGGTTACTTGAAAAATGAACTCGTTTTCTAAGGTAATCCAAACTGCTTCTGTAATCATTTCCTAATAAACATAAAAATGTATAACTGTTCTCTTTGATGCATGAATTCACCCCCTTTAGTGTGCATCAGTGCTGGTTAGTTAACACACAGATCCCCAGGCTCAGCCCCAGGGCATCTGATTTCAGAGGGTTGGCAACCCCAGCAGTCTGCACTTTAAATCATCAGTAACAGAGAGAAGGAAAGAAAACACTCTCAACAGAGTCCCATCATGCCTAGATCCTCTTTCCCCAACCCTTCAGTTCCTTGGGATTCTGGGTGCCCAAAGGCATACCTGCCTGTCCTGTTTCAAGGTGACAGGTTCAGGGATTTTTTTTTTTTTTTTAAGAGAGCTTTTTTGCTTGCCAGACACACAGAGAGAGAAAGTTAGAAATCACACCCTACCAACCAACTCCCCTGGGGAGAGATGGCCAGCCACAGTCCCTTCTCTTCCATTCTCCTCTCAGTTTTGGGCACTCATGCACATGCACCTGGCCTGTTTCTCAAGCCACCAGGTCTAGGACTCAAACTGCAACTGACCACATGGGAGTCCAGCACCTTAACCACTATACCACCTGCTGGCCCCCAGGTCCAGAGATTTGAACCAGTGGTTAGCCACGTGGCTTCCAGCACTGCCGTCTGGTATGCTAGCAACTGCACCACCCAGGCTAGGCCAAGGATCTGCATGTTAAGGCATAATGCTTCCTCCAGCCAAGGTGACCGATGCAACTGGTCTGTGAATCATTAAGAAAGCCCAGAAATGTACCTCCATTTCTACGTAGTCCACACTACGCTGTATTTATTTGTGTTGTATTACATCTATCTTCCTCAATGAACAGCTCCTAAAGGGCAGGCATGAGATGCAGACTTTCATGTCCCTGTTGCCTAGCACCCTGTCCAGCAAGTAGACACCCAGTTAATCATTTTTAGAATGCACTATGACATGGAAAGATGAGTCTTAGTACTAAGATCTGGAGTAGTAATAGTTTTGAAAGTCCTTTGTGCCAGGAAGGATTTATGATTGGTGTTTTGTTGTGGGGCCTAAACTATTTTTTCCCAACTGTTTCTTTTTAATTGCCATAAGGTGTATGCACTCACCACAGAGAGACAGAGGGAGAGAAGGAGAAAGCACATGGTCACACCATAATCCTTTCTCCATTTCTTCTTCTGTTCGGGCATGCACAAACATGCACTTGGCATGTTTCTCAAGCCACTGGGGCTGGAATTCAAACCACACCCAGTCATGTGGGATCAGGCTCCCTTAACCACCAGGCTACAGGGCTGATCCCAACTTTATTTAAAAGACCAATAAGTGGGGCTGGCAGGTGGCATAATGGTTAAGGTGCCGGACTCCCATATGGCCAACCAATGTTCGAGTCCCATACCTAGCAGCTTGAAAATCAAGCCAAGGGGGCCAGCAGGTGCCATAGTAGTTAAGGCACCAGAATCCCACATAGCCAACTGTAGTTCAAATCCCAGACCTGGCAGGTTGAAAATCATGTTGGGTGCATGTGCCTGCATGCCTATAATCAATCCCAGAAGGATACTAGAGGAGAAGGGATTGTGGCATGGCTGTTCCCACTGGGAGGATGACTTCTCACTTTCTCTGTCTCTCTCTCTCCGGTGAGTCCAAGTGCCCTGTGACAAAAACCTTAAAAGAAAATCACTCTGTGTGTGTGTGTGTGTGTGTGTGTGTGTGTGTGTGCATGTGTGTGTGTATGCCCAAAATACCAGGAGGAGAAAGGAGCAAAAGGTATTGGGGCATGACTATCTCCCCTTGGGGGTGATTTCTTACTTTCCCTCTGACTATCTCTCTCTGTCTCTCACAGGCAAGTACACATACCCTGTGGCAAAAATAATCAATCAGTCAATAACCAATAAGCATGTAGATTCATAGAGTTTGCCACATTTCACCCTGATATATCTCGTAAGTACAAAGCTGTTCTCGTATAACCACAGTAACACATGATCCATGTTCATTGTCCCCAACTGTACCTAGAGTGCCCTTTAACATGGCTTTGTAATCCTACGTGCAGGCAAGGATCACGGACTCTTTGGTCACGTTTCAGTTTCTGTTGTAAACAACACTGACATTGTGTATGAGTTTAAGCCAGTTGTCTAGTACCCAGTCCCCTACACTGGATTTGTTTCCTCATTACAATCCGGCTAACATTTCTGTCAAGAATACTGCACAGATGATGTGTTCTCCCCATTCCATCCCATTCAGGACGCATGATGCAGTCTGTCCCATCACTAATGAGATTAAGTGTGGTTGCTTAATTAAAGTGGTAGCTACTAGCCCTCTCCACTGCACGGCACAATTTCTCCTTTGTGATTACTGAGTTATGTGTCAGATGGTCCTCTGTGACTGTGTCAATTTCCTGTTCTCCTACAACCTTACACCCAATGGTCTTGACATCCATTTTTCTCCTTGCATTCCTTAACTTTAGAAGTGGGCCCAGCCATGGTGGTACAGGTGGTAGGACGCCCCCCTGCGATGCTGAAGCCACGTGCGAGACCATGGCTCAGATCCCAGGTCAACCTGAAACATACGAGCATAGTTGCTCATGATCCTAACTGGCTAGAGGGCTCAGTAATGGGGTTGAGATTTCAGTGTGACAAGGACCTGTCAAGGGTGTCTGTTTCTCTCTCTCAACAAAATAAAATATTAAATTAAAAAGAAAAAAGTCCATTCTTATAAAGGTGCCTACAATCCTGCAGTAAGTTCAGGGATCTTTAAAAGAAGGCACATCAGAACCAGCAGGTGGTGTGGTGGTTAAAGGTGCTGGACTCCTATATGGCTGACAGAGGTTCAAGTCTTGGACATGGCAGCTTGAAACTCACACTGGGCACCTACGTATATGTGCCCAAAATCCCAGGAGGAGAACAGAGGAGAAACGATTGCAGCATGGCCATCACCCATGGGAGGTGATTTCTCACGTTCCCTCTTGCTGTCTTTCTCTGTCTCTCCATCTAGCAAACACACGCTATGGCAAAATCTTTAAAAAAAAAAAAAAAAGGTATATCAGGCCAGCCCATGGCATGGTAAAGGTGACTGGTCCACATGGCTGACCACATGGTTCAAGTCCTGGACCTGGCGGCTTAAAAAAGCACACTGGGCATGTGTGAGTGCATGCCCAAAATCGCAAAAGGAGGAGGGATTGTAACGTGACCATTCCCTCCTGGGGATGCTTTCTCACTTTCCCACTCTTGCCCACTGTCTCCAGTAAATGCATGTACCCTTGGCAAAAAAAATTTTTTAAAAGAAGAAGAAAAAAAGGCACTTTTTTTTTTTTTTTTTTTTTTTTTTTAGGTTTTTGCCATAGGGCACATCCACTTGCCAGAGTCAGAGAGAAAATGGCCCCTAGGTGGGGATGGCCACCCCACAACCCCTTCTTCTCCATTTTCCTCTCCGGATTTTGGGCATGCACAGTGTAATTTTCAAGCTGCCAGGTCCATGACTTGAACTGCTATGTGGGTTGGCTATGTGGGAGTCCAGCACATTGACCATGTCACCTGCTGGCCCCCAAAAGGCATATCTTTACTAGCCAATGGCTCAAGAAAAATTTAGTTAGCTTTGAGAAAAGGCAGAATTTAGCAATAAAAGAATCTCTTCATTTTCCAGACAACTCCTGGCAGCCTATAAACATCTCTTACACATTGTGCCACAGTATGTAGCTCTATCCTGAAAAGCATTCTTATTCTCATAGCTGTGATGAGTGTTGCTGAAAAGTTATAAAATTTGGCAAGATTCCCCGACATGCATTGCATCTGATATCCTGAGTGACTGCTTGGGACAGAGATTATCCTTTGCCATCCAGTCCAGAAAATATGGAAGAAACCCAACACTAATAAGCTTATTCAGCCAGCTACATCCCTACCT